CCCCAAAACCCCAAAACCCCAAAACCCCAAAACCCATCATAAACCCAGCCTCCTAGCCCATCAATTTCCACCAAAAATCTCAAAATCCAAATTTTCCCTCCCCAAAACTCCAATTTCAGTATTCTTATTCCCTGCTATATCCCTGCGCACAAGAACAGGAAGTTCAACTGGAAAATTGGTGCAGAACAGGACTTAAGAGATATATGAGGGATTTTATAAGCGAGGAAGAGGAATTGAAGGAGATTTAAGCAGAGTTAGAGGGTTGTGAGAAGTTGAAGTTTTAGGTATTTTCGAGGATTATGGTGTTCTCAAAACCGTAGATGGATAGAATGGAGCGGGTTTTAGCCTCTGTGAGTCCTCAATCGGTTATGTAGATGGAGTCGAGGGTCCTTTGCATGTTATTGATTTTAGATAATCCAGAAATGATCATTTCGAATTTTTGAGGGAAGTGTTTCCATTTGCCTAGCTTTTGATTTCCTCAACCATTAAAACTTAGTTCTCGAAACTTTGGATGGATTATTCCTTTGATATCTGGTTCATGTATAATATTGAGGTTGCATTGATTAAATTCAATAAAATATGCATTCTTTCATGCTGGAATTAGATTAGCAAATTGCTGAGATCCAATCTCCAAATTAAAGAGTCGAATATTCCTAGTTACATTTTGTAAAGCCTTTGCAAGAGAATTTGAATAATACATAATATTCTTGATCTTTCCTGTGCTGATAGTTGAGGTGTTGAATTCAAACGACTCCAGAGATGAAGGCATTGAGCTTTCTAAAAATCCTGAAACAACTTCACTCCTGTCAGGAACATTCAATAAGGAGATCTTTGACCCACTAGGGAGCGCTGAATTTTTTCAATCCTGAAGGAATGAAATCGATTTTCGCAAGTTTAGATTGAGCTCAAGCTGGTAAGTACGATCACTGATAACCTCAGTTTTAAAATACTTCCTCAGAATTTTGTTCGCCTTCTTATATGTCATTCCTACAGACTCGACCATTTCTTCTTGCTGTTCTAATATCGACCACATGCTATCTCTTTTGTTCATTTCTTTATTCTAAAAGATATCAGATTTTTCTATGTAAGAATTTTCTGTCAATTCTTTGTCCAGAATCAGAACGAAATTACTTTGATAGAGCAAAGAAATTTTTTAAGGCCTTACCTTCTTTCAGGAGTTATACACATTGATGAAAGGACTTGACTCCTTCTCCTCTTCAAAATTATATGAAGGTGCTCTTGCCTTCTTAATCTTCCTTGTTCTCTTAGGCGGCTCTTTCTTTGGAACTATTTCTTGCTCTAAATTAATAGTTAAATAATTTGATGGAGCTTTTGAATAAACTGAGAAAGGCAATTTAAAATCTACTTCTCTTGTTCTCTCTTTCAAGAAGTGATAAAGCTTGTTTGAGACGATTTATCTCCCTCATCGCTATATTTATTGAGATAATTTAGATACCTTTCTCAAGCTCAGCTTTGCTATTTCAGTTGCATCTTGTGATCTTATTATTTACTTTTATGCCTAAATTATGATAAATTGTTCTTAATCATGTCAATTTATAATTTTTACTCTATTCAAAGCCCACTCACCTCTAATTTGCGCATCAATCTCAGCCTCTTCTTTATGATCAAGGTATCCCAGCCAGCTATCATCAGTCCTAATGAACCCTAGCACATCCAAAACATCTTGATGGCACTCTGGAAGGTCTCCCCATGAGCTTTCTCTATAAGCTTGCTGAAGCTCATTCTGAATTTTCACAAGTGTCTCATTATACCTATAGGTGCTCATAGGGATTGCTTGCGGGTGAAGACTTACTCCTGAAATGACTTGTGGACCTTGGAAAGTCTGTTCTTGGGATAGTGCTTCTGACAGTACTCCATCATGTCTCGTAGTCTATGCGATCACTTCCTGATCAAAATCTCAAACTCCTTGGCACTAGGATACCTAACTCACTGCTCTCCTTTCAAATAAACATCCTTTCATTGTTCTCAATAGACCTCTTCATCTGATCCTTGGCCAATTCCCTAAAAATCAGGCAATCGCTTACCTTATAATAAATAGCTTCTCTTCCTCATTCTGCTGAGCAGGGGCACCAAAGTTTATTCATTTTGGGGGAATTATTAATTTAATAGGAATTTTGGATTTTGGGGTTTTGGGGTTTTGGGGTTTTGGGGTTTTGGGGTTTTGGG